CCGCACACATTCGTTTACGAAGTGTACAATTATCCCAGTGCGACCCTACCTAGGAGTTGGAGCCCCTAGGAAAGCAGCATTAGTAGCAACAGAAAAGATACGCTAAAGCTAAGCGAATGCTAAAGCTAAGCGAACGCTAAGCTAAAGCTAAGCTAAAGCTAAGCTAAAGCTAAGCTAAAGCTAAGCTAAAGCTAAGCGAAAGGTAAGCTGCAGGTAAGCTGCAGGTACGCTGCAGCTAAGCTGCAGGTAAGTTAAAGCTACGATGAAGCTAAGCTAAAGCTAAGCTAAAGCTAAGCTAAAGTTAAGCTAAAGCTAAACTAACGCGATGCTAAAGCGAAGCTAAAGCTAAGCTAAAGCTAACGCTAAGCTAAATTTAAGCTAAAGCTAAGCTAACTTTAAGCTACAGCTAAGCTAAAGCTAAGCTAAAGCTAAGCTAAAGCTAAGCGAAAGCTAAGATAATGCTAAACTAAAGCTATGCTAAAGCTGAGCTAACACTAAGCTACAGCTAAGCTAAAGCCAAGCTAAAGCTGAGCTAAAGCTAAGCTAAAGCTAATGCAAAGTTAAGATAAAGCTAAGATACAGCTAAGCTGAAGCTGAGCGAAAGTTAAGCGAATGCTAAGCTAAAGCTGAGTTAAAGCTAAGCAAAGGCTAAGCGAAAGCTAAGCGAATGCTAAGCTAAAGCTAAGCTAAGCTAAGCTAATATGAGAAAAGCTAAGCTAAGCTAAGGTAAGCTAAGCTAAGATGAGATGAGATAAGCAACGCTAAGCTAAAGGGACGTACCTGGGGGAACCGCGGGGCGGGGACTGGGGGAACCGCCCGGGACGCTTTACACTGCCCGCCCCTTTAAGCAACCAGAATAAGAACCCTCTAGGCAGAGCCTGGGTAGGGAAAAAAGTTCACGGATTCCCATGATCAACGTACCAGAAATAATGTTTTGGAAGGGTTCTGGGTTATGCAGGGCGCAACAGTTACGTCGATTCGCGGGGTTGAAGTTACAGGAATGGCGTTCTGGCACGACTCAGGATCGCCAAGATGCAAGCAGTCAGTTTGATTCGTGGCGTTGGAATCCCGACACTACTTTTTGGCATGCTTCAGGGTCTTCAAACGGTCAAACGAGAATGCTTTCTCAGCGAAAAGGAACCTTTGTAGGGGCCTATGAAGAGGGAGCTTGGAGGGAGGATTTATTACAACATCGTTGCTGACCGTTGGGTTGAAACTGGTCCTCCTCCTCCTCCTCATCCTCCTCCTCCTCCTCTTCCTCCTCCTCCTCCTCCTCCTCCTCCTCCTCCTCGTCCTCCTCCCACTCCTCCTCCTCCTCCTCCTCGTCATCCTCCTCCTCCTTCTCCTCATCCTCTTCCATTCCTTTTCCCTATAACTAACTCCTCCCTGTCGCACCCCGAGGCCAGTTTTTAGGGCGGGCCAGGCGTTTCGCTTGAGATTTCCTCGCCAGTTATAATCTTAGAGCTTTGCAGCAGCTTCACAGATAGAGGGCGGGTGGTTTTCAAAATATGGCTCTCGCCTTAGCGCCGCGCACATGCGTGTAAATATTTGCAAGAGCTTCACGGGTTGGGGGCGGCGTCGTTTCAACATGTGGCTCTCGCCGTAGCGCCGCGCGTATTCATTTTTGAATTTACAAGATCGTCACTGATTGAGGGCGGGTGGTTTTCAACATGTGGCTCTCGCCTTGGCGCTGCGCACATTCGTTCTAACATTTACAAGGGCTTCACGGATTGAGGGCGGGTGGTTTTCAAAATGCGGCTCTCGCCTTAGCGCCGCGCACACTCGTTTACAAAAATGCAAGAGCTTCACGGATTGAGGGTGGCTCCTTTTCAAAATGTGGTTCTCGCATTAGCCCCGCGCACATTCTTGACACAGAATTGCAAGCGTTTCACTGATTCCCGTGATCGGCGTACCAGAAATGGTGTTTGAGAAGGGTTCACGATTTTGAGGGCGCAGCAGTTACGATGATTCGCTGAGCCGAGGTCCCGCGAATGGCATCCTCGTCCTCCTCTTCCTCCTCCTCCTCCTCCTCCTCCTCGTCCTCCTCCGTTTCCTCCTCCTCATCCTACTCTTCTTCTTCTCATTCGCATTAGTATCATCATGTGTCTGCTTAGTCTTCTTCTTGTTCTTACTAGTATTATTAGTTTTATCAGTATAGCTATGAGTACTTTTCTTTTTGTGATTTTTATCATAATACGATGCTTCATAGTGTTACTATTGTCATGAGTCTCCGTACTATTAAAATACATTATTGTTATTAGTATCAGTATTATTATCGGTATTATTATTAGTAGTATTATTATTAGTAGCAGTAGTAGTAGTAGTAGTAGTAGTAGTAGTAGTAGTAGCGTGCTTGATATTATTCTTCTGATCCTTCTGCGCCGTATTATTACTATCCCTCATCCTCCTTCTCTTCCTCCTCCTCCTCCTCCTCCTCCCCCTCCGCATCCTCCTCCTCATCCTCCTCTTCCGCCTCCACCAACTCCTTATCCTCCTCCTCCTCTTTACTACTACTACTACTACTACTACTACTACTACTACTACTACTACTAAAACTACTACTACTACTACTAGTACTACTACTACTACTACTACTACTACTACTACTACTACTACTACTACTACTACTACTACTACTGCTACTACTGCTACGACTACGACTATTACTACGACTACTGCGACCACTGGGACTACTAGGACTACTAGGACTACTAGGACTACTCCGACTACTTCGACTACGACTACGACTACGACTACTACTACTACTACTACTACTACTACTACTACTACTACTACTACTACTACTACTACTACTACTACTACTACTACTACTACTACTACTACTATACTACTACTACTACTACTACTACTACTACTACTACTACTACTACTACTACTACTACTACTACTACTACTACTACTACTACTACTACTACTACTACTACTACGAACTACTACTACTACTACTACTACTACTACTACTACTACTACTACTACTATTACTACTACTACTACTGCTACTACTACTACTACTA